AAATCCAATTCTCAAAAAATGCCTAATTTAAGTGAAAAATCTTACCTACACATTATCTCATGCCACAATACTTGGATGATATGGTTCCAGAGGAGATAGTAAACTAACTTAGCAGCTCACCACAGAGAGCTTCTGCTCCAGTCTCTAATCCTGTGCCAGAGCTGATGCACATCAGGCCCCTCCAGAAGCCGTTTAACCTCACTAATATGACCGTGTTATTGAGTTAAAGCAGCTTAGGAAGAGCATGACGACTTCCAGAGCCAGTGCTGATGGAGGGATGTGACTGGAACAGAGAAGGGAAAGGGAGGAGTAAATGGGAAAGGGGGTAGCAGGGAGAGAGACCTCTCTCAATTGCTGTCAGCCAACAGCTTTGCTGCCTGTCAGGCTGTAGATGGAGACTTCTGAGAACCTGGAAACACTCTGTGCCCTGTTGTAACATCAACTGCACCAAAACTGCATCTCCTAACAATGTTTTGTCATGCCTGTAACATCAGCACTGACGTTCAGATGCTAGGAGAGATCACAACAATCATATACACAAGAGCTGTCCAGGACAAAACCAAATATTAAATTTATGTCAAATGAGACTCCTTGTGCTTGATTTATGTAAGTGGGGTGGAGTTTATCACACTACCTCCTTTTCAGATTAATGGTGTCTCTGAAAGGAGCAGGCTGTACAAAAACATTGATTCCTTTAAACTAAAAGCCCCAAAACCAAGCCTAGAGATTTGGTGTCTCACTGTCCACGTGCTTCTCTCTCTGTGTCACTGTTAAGACTTTATCCTACTCCAGCATCTCCTGCCACCACTGAGTACAGCTGAATGCAGTGCAGTAAATGTATCCAGACAGCAGAGACTAAATCCTAAACTTTGCACTGTGGAATGCAGCATCATTATGACATGATCCTTTTCATTTATTCAGTTTGTCAGAGAATTATGTAGAAGTGTAAAATTGTCGACAAGTTCTAAGGAGGTATGTGGTACCTTATTCTGTAATATCATTGTCCTCTAACATCTTGAAAGGGCTGTGTATGAGCTGCTTTAAGAGGCTGTCAGTAAAAGCTCCGTGGTTGTTTCTCTGGCTTCTGCATCTTCCAGGGGTAGCTCTACCAGGGAAAAATAGAACTATTCAATTAGTGAGACTTAAAAAAAAAACAAATGGAAAATGTTTGCAAATGTTTGAGAGGGTTTATTTTGTATTGGCAAGGAAACTACGAATTTAGAACTTGCCATTTATGTAGTTGAGAGAGTTTTTGTGCATTTAGAGTCTGATTTCTGCTGATAAATCAAGGATTATGTTAGGTTTTCTGTACTGAATGTCTTGGGTAAACAGTTGTGTTGAGAAAGGAAAATTATCTTTCTGTTCCTTCCAGGATGAAGGCCTGTAAATATAAGAGATAAATATGTTGTAGGAAGACAGCATTGTAGTGTGTTTTTGTCTCCAGTTATGTATCAGTGAGGTAGTTCTTGTGAATTATTTTTGTTTCCATATTTTACTTGAGCCTTCCCTGGAAAGATTAGTCTCTTGACTCAATATTCCATGCTTAGATTTGCATTGATGACCTTATAAATCTGAAGGCATTCGATTTAGGGACAAATCTGCACGCTCATACAGCTTCAATGTTTTAAAACTTCTGCTCAGGAAGAGCTTCCAAGTCAAATTGCTTGCTACTTTTTTTTCCTTTAGTATCATGCCTACTGTCTGAGGGGAAGTTTGTAAACAGTAGAAATAGTCTGTGGAAAATTTAAGTATTGTGAAGTGCAACAATCAAATTGAGTATTTTAATCAGGTGCAAGCTCTCTACTATCTAAGATGGAAATGACCAGAGGCAAGTCATGATTAAAGTGGATCATAATTTGCAATAATTCCTTTGGTGCTGGATGTTAAGGTTTTGTCTTCAGGATTTCCCATCATCATGCTTGATTCAGAGTTGTTTTATTGAGGCATCTGCTGTCTACTTTGAACCTAATTTATCTTCTGTGGTCTTTTGTGGCATTTAGGGTATTTGAAGAATAACAATGATCTTGAACTCCACATGTTACAATGCAAATCTTCATAGACTATTAGTTTGAAGCTGGTTTAAAAATTATGCCATGGGTAGTTCAACTACTAAAGCTAAAAGCTCCAGTGTTTATGCAGTTATGGTGGCACAGTTTATTTTATTCCTAGAACTAGAATAAACTATTGTGATATGATTTTGTTGTGGTATAAAGTTGTCTAGCTTTCACCGTTATGGGATAGTTAAAGGCTTTGAAAAGTTAAGAATCTCATCTGACAAACAAATTTTCCTCAATCACTTGGTGGTTCCCATGGTACCTTTCATAACATTCCTGGGACAAATGTGCAATGTGTCAAGCAGGGATTGAGCACATGAAGATGGATTGTGCTGATAGAACAGAACTGGCTTCCTTGTTACCTTATTTTTGCCATGGTTTCACATAATTTTCATCTCTTGTAATCAAGAGATCTTGAGATCTCTTTCATCTCTAGAGTAATAAGTTGAGTAAAAAAAAAAAATGTTTCCCCTTGTAAGTACAAAAAAAGGATGTATGCTTAGAAGAAGGTACTTCCTTTAGTTTTACTTTAAATGTTTTAATGGTAACAAAACAGATTAATGGGCAGGTTTTTCATTTGAGGAAGCATCCAGTTGAGAGAGATCAGGTTGCTAATAAAATGGACTGCTGATGCATGGTAGGGGAGAGATTCACTTTTACTCTGATGTCTAACTAGAAGTGGCTAATGCAGGAATTTATTTGATATCATAGGGAAGGTAATAAGTGACTTAATTATTCTGTATGAATTCCAGTTAATGGCTTTTAGCCTTAGGTCTTCAGTCTGTTTGAACCAAAGCTAGAAGTATTCAGATGCTATCTGCTGGTTTTTGAAACTTCTAGGTAATTTTTTAGTGATACTTCCTTTTTAATTTTTAATTTTTTTTTTTTTTTTTTATCATTAGCTAACTGTATTGCGTTAGTTGTGCCTCATTTGTGGACCTTTGTAACTTGGAGTATAGTTGAGTTTGTAGTGAGGGGAGAATAAGAGTAGGCTTGGTTCCTGTGCTAGTCTGGCTATCAGCTTGGGGCTAGCAACAAAAAAAGCTGCCCTCCCTGTGCCAGTTCCTTAAATTAGGCTTTTTGGATTTTATCCTCAGCATGTCACTGTTATTGCATTGTTGCTATGATACAATACTTACTCATGCAATCTGCTGTAGAATATTAGAAGATCTGACCTGAAATGTTACGTAACTTACAAATGTTTTTACAGCTGATGTTCATTATTTTGCAGAGTGTAACAATTCGTGTCTTTGTAGTTATCTGAGTGAAATAAGCATCTTGCAAGGCTTCTTATTCAAAAGAAAAATGGTTAAAATGGCAGAATTGACATTCAAAAGTGTGAATTGTTCTTCATGAGGGAGTAGTAATTGCTGGCTTGTTCAAAAGCTCCCTGAAATTGTTATGCTCATCTAATAGGATCATAACTGTCAGGTGGGGAAAGGGAGCACAATACAGTAATCTGTATATGCCTGAATTTCCAGGGCACAGTGAGCAGTATGGGTTACAGTGGAGGTGTGTCAGTCCATTTCAGCAATTACTTTTTGCTTATGGAAATGAAATAATTCTATCAGGTAACTACTGATTATTAAACCTGCTGTTGACTGTTGTTGTTTCAGCCACTAAATGAAAGATATTTTGGTAGGAAACTTGAGAAACGGGCATTATCAGAGTGAATTGTTAAAGGTATAAACTTAATGAAGTTTTTTTAAATTAGAATAATTCTAAAACGTGAAAGAGAAGCATGAGATTTTTTGTGATTTGTTCAGGTTTTAAAGTGAGACTCTTTAAGATTTTCAGTACTCAATTGCTGTTTTCCTGTCTTGATAATTTTTTTTTTTTTTGGTGGTGAAATAGCAGTGCTCATAGCAATACTGCAGTGAATGAATGATGCTAAGGGATGTAGTCAGGATGTTGTCAAGTCTTGAAAATTCTTCAGGGGGAGAGCTTTCTTTATTCGGAGATAAAATTGGGAATACTGTTTTTTCACCAGAGTAAGTTAAATGCCAACAAGCTGATAGATGAGGTGATGCTGTATTGGTGCAGTTGCTTTGAACCCCTATAACCAGTTGAAAACAAGAACAAAAGACAAACCAAATCTTTAGTTAAAACAATGACTTTTTTATTTGATTGTTATGATCATGCAGCTTTGGAACAATTGCAACATACTAAGGATGTATTAAATTTTTGAAGACTGTAGTGCTTGATAATCCATCTCTTTTAGAGTTAATGTGAAATGCTAATGGAGGAATTCTGCTTATCAGATTACAGAGGTACTGAATGCTGAAATGAAAATGCTAAGTCGCAGCCAAACACGTTGTGTTAATAGGCAAAAAAATCTGGAAGACCCTTATATGACTAAGATTGTCATAAATTATTTAGACCAAAGCATAAAAATTCAGGATTAATCCTTTTGAAATATTGGAATTCTTTCTTCAGAGAAATGTTGATCACATGATATCAAAAGTATGTGAAGCATTTTGCATTGGGGTAAAAAGACAAGGTTCCTTCAAAGCAGATTTTACAGCTTTTAAGCAGGTTACATAATAAAGGATTAGGGAACAGAATGAGACAAATCGGATGAATGAAAGGTTAGTTTGATGCACTGCTTCTGGATATGACTTTTGGTGATGGAGATCTGGAACTTGTTAATGTCTATGTATTTCAAATAATGTTAATTCAGGAACTCATTGCTGGTAAATATATTTACTGCCATATCTTTGTCCATTATTTCTTTCATGTACCAAAAGTTGGGGATGGTGAGTGTTCCATTGTTACATACAGATATTTTCAGTTTTGACAAAATTGCATAATAACTTGCTATTAGTTTGCTGACTATGAAGCACAACATTCCCCATTAAAAAACCAAATCATAGCTATGCAAATTCTTGCCAACAAAATAGATTTAGAAATCCTGTGTTTGCTTCTACAGACTTAAGTGTTTGTTGTTTTGTTGTTTTTTTTTCTTCTATAGATGCCACCTTCAATGAACAGCAAGATCTTTTTTGTCAGAAGTTGCAACAGTGTTGCGTGCTCTTTGACTTCATGGACTCTGTTTCAGACCTGAAAAGTAAAGAAATCAAGAGAGCAACACTGAATGAACTGGTTGAATATGTTTCAACAAATCGTGGAGTGATTGTTGAATCAGCTTATGCTGACATAGTGAAAATGGTAAGTAGAATGCTCTTGTTATAGTTTGAATTTTAATAAAATATCTTAATCAGTTTATGACTGTAATGGCATTTAACTCAGAATTGTGGTTGGTTATTCTGCTTATACAATATAATTTGTTAATGATAACTTGGCTCAGAAAGGCTTGTAAAAACAAACAACTTGCAAGTTCTAGTTATTAGCTGAAACATGATGCATTCAGGTTAATTAAAATGAAAGAACTGGTGCACTGCAGATACTTGCAGTCTGGGTAAGCTTTAAAGTTGTTCTCTTTCAGAAAATGGCAATATTTCAGTGCTGCCTGTTTTTATTTACTAGTGGCAATGGAGAGTTAGGCTAAAGTTTTCTGGTAGTAATTGCTGCAGGTACTGGTGACAGCAAAAAAGTTTATCAGTATAAGAAAGCAACTCTACTTTGTAAATACTTTTTATGTCTGTTTGTTATTATTTTGGCCTTGGAGAGCTGTACTATATTAGCCTAAGTGGTTTGCTGAAGTTATAAACCATAGGATGACTTGTCCCATGCAATTGCTACTAATGACTTGCTGAATAATGAACAAAATATTTGTGGTTGTTATCTGCTGACTTTCCCAGGTGTTTATGTGCATTTTCAAATGCTACTTAAATAATGATTTTGATCTGCCTGTACTTAAGGTACAGGGAATGCAACTGAAAGACACTTGAGAATAATCTGAATTTTTTTTTTTTTTTCCCTAGAAAAGTGAAATGTAAAAACAGTGGCTTTAGTGCCCATGCATTTACGTGAATGGTACTCTAAACTTTGGTGAAGTTTACATAGATAAAATGCTGATTTTAAAAAAGCTCTCAGGAACATAAGCAGAGCAGTTCAAATATAGAGCCTGCAACTTTTGTGGTTCACTATACAGTGTAAGCTAGTTTTTTCTTAAAGTTAATTTTGTTTGTTGTTTGGTGGTTTGTTGTTTGGTTGTGGTTTTTTTTTTCTGGGCAACTGATAGAGAAAATCAGATCTTAAATGTAAATAAATGTGGAAGTTTTGCCATTATACTGAAGGGCTCGGATTATTGAAACCCTTCTAATCATTTTGGCTGTTTCAGCAGATGCTTATTAAGTTTTACAAAAAAATCTAGGACACTGCAGGGTTTCGTATAGTTTAGTTTTTTAAAGGACCTGGTTTTCTGTCCTAAATGTTTTTTACATAAGAAAATAAAGGACAAAGTATGTTCACCTCTTATTAGGCTTTTTTTTTTTCTTGCTGCTGGTGGCAGCAAGCCTGAATCCTTGCAGTATTTTCTTATTCTGTGTGCCCTCTGTAGCCCCTTGTTACAAGAAAGAATATACTAACTAGCCCATACTACTTGTTGAAGAGAGGCTTTCTTTTATGTTTGAGTTGTTTTCTTTTCTTGGAGATAAGGTGGTGTTGGGCTGTTCTTTTGAGTTTTTGTTGTTGTGCAAATGATTTGATTCTGTGGATGCTTGTTTTCCCTTCCATAACAAATTTCCATCTCCTTTTCTTCCCTAAAATGACAGAAAGTGAAGCTCAGTGAGAGCTGTAAATGCTCAGTGAGAGCTTTTTGAGAGCTTGAGACAAAAGATCCCTCCAAGCTTGAATAGTATTTCTAATCTCCCTGGCAACTGGCAGCAGAAGAGGCCTTTGCTGTGAATTAGGACGAAGTTCCAGCTTTCAGGAAAAAATCTGCATGGGTCTGTTTCTCCCTCTACATAACACCTGTGTCAGGCTCAAGGCCTTTCTTGGTAGCAAAACTTGTATGAGATGGAAGAGTTACTGTTTCACTTCTGTTTTGTTTGGGTTTTAAGTTTTTAGGATGTTCAGTGATCCTATATTAAAAATAACTTGAGTTTTGCTGCAGTGTTTGAAGTGTGGTTTTGGGATGAAAAAGTAGAAATGGCCTTAATGAAATCCAGCTATCATCTGGCTGCTAGTAGAGGACAGGCAGACTAAAGAATTCCCTGAAAAAAGCCAGAGTGGCAGCAGTGGCAGAAGCAGAAACAATTTCTTTCCAAAGCCCCTTGTTCTTTCTTAGGCCTGGGACACCTTCTCTCCAGCTCTCAGAGGAAACAGCCTCAGGTTTCAAACAGGTTTCCCTGGAGTCACCTGAGCTGTGGGGAGGCTAAGTCAACAGTGCCTTAAAGATAGCAGGAAGGGACATAAGATGCTGATTCTGACCAGTGGATAGGCAAGGTCTGTGCAAGTGAGGAGGTCTCTGGCATTCCTTTCCTTCACTGGTCTCTGCTGACCCAAGTATCACACAGGCTCCTCTGGTCGTCTCTGCTATGCTTGGATCCTGAGGCAGGGAGCTTGAACTGATACCAGTATCATTTCTAGCCACTGAAGATGGAACAACATAATTAAAAAAAGTCTTTGTTTAAATGGATGTGCAGGACACGCTGTAGGTTATCTTTTTGGTGCCCTGGGCAACCTAATTTTCCTTCAGGTGAGGAGGACTTTTGCTTACAAATAGTTTTGAAGATGTAGCACAGTGGTCAGTGCACCTCTGTTCTGGGTCATCTAAAACTAGTGTATTCTGTTTGGAAATTCTCAGTTAAAAGCACTCTGAAACTAAAAAGAAATCAGGGTTTGGTATTGTAAATACTTTAAGTTTTAAAACTTCCTGGGAAATTAGAAAGTTCTACCTTTTATCAGTTTGGGGAACATGACAGAAATGTCTCTACAGTACACGTAACTCTTCATCTCCTTGTGCCTATCAGCCTCGCCTCGTTCCCCAGCAGAATATAAAAATCTAATGTAATGAGATTGTCCTAACAGGCTGTATGAATTGTGAATTCAGAATTCAAAAGAAATCAGGAACCCTCAATCTGCACGCTCAAATTGGAATTGAACCTAGTATCTTTTGAATGTTGAGATCAAATGTACAGACAATAAGGGACTTTTTTTTGTTGTTTGTTTCAATAAAATGTAATTGCTGTATCCCAGTGCACTTACTGGTACATTTTCTGATGTCATTTTTGGAAAACTTTGAGATTTAATTTAGAAAGCTGATGCTGGATTTATCTGGAAATCTATCCGACTTTAAAAACCTTTTATGATCTGTGTTTCTGACATCACAGTTTTGGGATAAGACAACACTTGGGAAAGAAAAAGAATGCTTTAAGTAACATGAGAGGATATAGAGTAGAATTTGCAAAAGTATTTTAAACATAATAAAGTAAATTAATTGGTTTTTTGGGGGGAGACAGTCTAGTATGGAAAAAGGGTACAAGGTTTATTTTAAGTTTCATGTATTCTTGGGAGGTGAATAATGCTAGTGGCAGTACTGAATACTCTGAAAATCATACCATTGGTTTTCCACAGGCCTGGCTGAGAGGCTTGCTGATTGTTTCTGATACAGAAGTGTATTTAGTAGCTTTGTTTTGGACATGAAACTTAGTACTCTGAGGTTCTGTGCTAAAGGCTGACCAGCTCAGTTCAGCAAGATGCATGTAGAAACAAAAAGAAGTGTTTGCAGGAGATGTTACCAGAAAATTTGTAGGAGAGGCAGAACATTCTCTGTAGGATTCATATGCTGGAGGGTTTTATTGAATACCTGTTAAGAGTAGACAGAGCAAATAAGAGAACGAGGATTGTAATGTTGGTTTTTGAGCTTGATTAAAATGAATGTTCTCTGACTCCTATTTCCCACTCCTCTCCCCCCCAGCCTTTTGTTCTCAAGCTTTGAAACCCCAAGTCCCTTGTGTTTACAGCATTAAAGGACAACTGTATTGTTTTTTGTGGGGTGGTTTGTTTGTTTGTTTGGGTGGTTTTATTTGGTTTGGGGTTTTGTTTTGTTTTTTTGTTGTTTTTCCTGTGTCTTAAGCTTGGAGACAGCTGAGCCCATCCACACAGAACTTCATTGCCCTTCAAGTCCAGGCCAGTAGTGCTGCAGCTTTGCCGTGTCCTAACAGGAGACAGAGACAGGACACAGAACAAAGGGCATAGGAGGAAATGAAAATGCATCTTATGCAATAGCTGTGTATCTTGTTTAATGAGGCAGCTGATGCTTATGTCCTGTGACTTCAGGATCTTTCTAAAGTCCTTTTGCTAGACTCTACAAACACCTTGGAGACTCCATGGAATATGGGCAGGAGGATTTTCTGCAAACTGTTGAACAGTTTCTTTTGTGCTTAGTAGGCTTGGGTAATAAGCAGCTACTTGAAACAGATTTGATCAAAAAGACTAAAAGATTTTGAAAGGTGATTGGAAAAGTCGGGTTTAACTTGTTCCTGAAGGAATGGTAAAAAATGCAGAAATTAAATGAACTTCATGTTCTCTTTTGTTTGTGTTAGAGATTTAAATCCAGTATGTTATATCTGGTGCAGGAGATGACATTTTTCCTTTAACATCTGAATGGTCTTCTATACATGCTTTAATATACTTCAAAAATCCCTGAAGAAACCTTTTTAAACTTGTCCTTTTGAAATTGATTTGATGTGACTGTATCATACTAAAAGTAACTTAGACTACCTTTAAGAAAAAATAGCTACTATGTGAAAGGGAAAAGTTAGAATGGTTATGTGTTTCTAACTTTCCAAACCCTTGAAACACCTTGAAATTTTCAAAGGTGAAAAATGTAAACAGAAATATCTTGAAATCAAGTAAGATGAAGAGCTGTAGAAATAAAATGCATTTTTGGGATTGTCTGCCTTACATGACAGACATGCTTGCTCTCTCTTACGTGGATAGACCTCTCTTTAAATCATAATTGATTTTAGTTTTATTTTATTTGTGGTCTTATATAAAAACAGCTCTTTGTGTCATGTAGTTAAAAATTGTTTTTTATAGGGAAGCTGATTTTTTTTTAAACTTCATAGTTTCCAGGGAGATGCTGGAATATGTCTAGCTACAAGCTTGTAAAGCAGTTGAGACAAAAGTTACTTTCTTATTTTCATTGATGTGCTACAGACTTCTGGCTGTTTGTATTTTGCAGTTTTGAAAATGAGCTAGTGATTTATTATGTTACTTTCTTTAGATAGTTTTGTTTCATTTGATTTCAGGGTAAATGAGTACCCTAATGAGTGTTATCGGTGAGAGCATAAACAGTGATACAATTTAATTTTTTTTTTTGCTTACAGATTAGTTCTAATATTTTCAGAACACTTCCACCTAGTGATAACCCAGATTTTGATCCGGAAGAAGATGAACCAACTCTTGAAGCCTCATGGCCCCACATACAGGTGTGTGATTCTTTTACTTTCAAGCCTTCTCAGAAGGCAAGAAGTGTGGATACTTCAGTCATTTTGTGCCTTTGTTAAGAACAAAAAAATTGCTTTTGTAATACAATTGAGTTTTTATAGCTGAGAGGGAAAAAAGTGGTGCTTTTTTTAGCATGCATAAATATGGCTGAATGTAACACTTCTAAATGGCTTAAATATTATTTTTTAAACAGAGGGATTGCTCTGTTAAATAGTGCTGTATGTATGTCTTAAAGCTGGATATTTTAGATAATTATGTTCTTCACCTAAGAGGTTTGTTTTCTGCAACTGAGCAACTTTATAGTGTTGTTTCAATGAAATATAAGTTAATACTAACAGTTCAGTTTCTTGTGGCAATAACAAAAAATGGAGTAATAGCCTTTATTTGTCCTTTGAGCAAATAAAAATCCCCTCCTTCTTCCCCACCATTTTCCCTCCCTCCATGCAAAGGCTTTACAATATCAGCGTTGTTTGGTAACAGTTGCATGGTTATTCCATTGTTGCACTTCTATGGAGATCTCGTGATTTTTATAGCACTGCTGTATCACACACAACCACAATGTGATTGACTTGAAATGCTGCTGAGTTTTATTTTATTTTCTATTAACTATTAGAAGATGTAAATGTTCAAGCACATATCTCAGGGTAGTTCGTTGCCGAATTTATGTAAGTCGTATCTGTTAAAGAAAAGTGAAGTTGCAGCTCCTAGCAGTGGGTAGATTGAGCTGCTGCACATCTGCATACCATTTCCTCTCTCCTCTCAAGAGCTAAAATGATACCCTGCCCCTATAATATTACAGTTCTAATGCATCCACAAATGCTCTTATTTAAAAACTGAGCTTCTAATATTGACTCTAAAAAGTATGTATTCAGCATAGTATTTCAGACTTAAACCAAACAAGAATTAAGTTATCACAAAAAAATAACTCTGCAGGTCAAAGGCTGTGATCATTATTTTCTTATATATGGTTGATTCTAATTAATAGGAGAAACAGCTATAACTGAACTAGATGAGAGGCTTGACTTTGTTGGGTGGGACAAGGGCTAAGCAAATGTCTCTTGTAGTCAGTAGCAGCACCATCTGAATTCTAAATACCTGTGTCTCAGAGGTAAAATCTGGAAATGCTAGCTCAGTTCACTTTAGGTCATAATTAAACTCTAGTCCTGTTCATAGAAAAAGACCTGTAGATTTTGTGATCAGTTCACTTGTGCCTTAGGCTTGCCTGAGAGGAATTGAAAGAGATTTGTAGCCTGTGGTATTATTTGAAATTTTATTTTCAGGTTTCTTCCTTGCATTTTTCTAAGGGAAATTTTGCCAGGCTGTCTGGTCACTGGTTGTGGATTTCCCTTCCCTGTGTCTGTTGTTCATCTTGTCCTTGGAATAGATTACTCCTTGCAGCATAGTGGAAATAGTTTGTGTTTCCCACTCTGTCCTTTTACAGTTCATGTGATCCTGGACCATAGAAGACTCAGTTGCTCATTGCCCTTCAGGAGCACAAAGCTGCTGGAAATGTCAGATTCTGTGTGTGAAAGAAAGGCTGTACACAACTGTTCTCCTCCCCAGCAAAACACAGTATTATTTTTGGCATAGTCTAAAGGACTGCTTAAGGAGAGAAGGTGTGGATGTTTTGCTGACTGTGATTTGTGACAGATGAGTTACAAATTCCAAATTCTATCCTGATCTGGCAGTCAGGTAGCCACTTTTCTAGGAGAGGAAAAAAAAAAAAAGTCTGAACCTCTACTCTTCTCTGCTTGAATCTGTTGACGTAATTGCTTAGTAAGTAACCAGTGTGTGTAGCCACAACAAAAGACTCCAGACCTTCAGTAAAATGAGTTTCACTTGAAAGATGTTGCTTTAAAGTGCTTAAAATGGTTTGTAGCAGCCAAAGTAGGTTGAACAGGTTGACATTTAAAGCTGCTGTGCATTTTGAAGCTTAGGGAGTTGCAGAGTTGCTGGAATTGTTTAAAGCAGTAATATTCTAGTGGTCCCTGCAAGATAGAATCAGTAAAGCATTAGGAATTTTATTCCATAGCTCTTTGACCCAAACAGACTAGTTTTGAGAACAAAAATCACTAAATCCAAAATCTTTCCCCTCATTTAGTATTTCCAAGAGTAATGTTTCTGTTAAACTCAAAGTTGAGCATGCCTGTCTCTTTAGGTAGGATCTGTTGTGATTAGAACCTGTTCTGGTGCCCCTAGTTTGATTGTTGTTGTTATGCTTTTAAGTTTGCTAACATTATCATACAGGGAAAGTGAGAATTTGACTTACCCAGGAATGGCCACTGCAGCTTGCTTCCTGAAGTGTCCTGGATAAAGAGGCTTTCATGTATCTCCCAAGGCTCACAAGGATTTCCAAAGTCATTTGATATCCAGTTGATAGCCTGAATTTAATCTTGGACAGCTTGTAACAAGATGTTGCAGCATTGTGCTTTTCACTTAGTTCATCTGCTTGATGTCTATTGCAGTCACTGTATCTATTTATGGAAAGAAGGCATAATTATCCTTCTTCCCCTGTCCTTTAGGGAAAACAAAATGTGCCAATTTAGTGTTCACTCTTAAAAAGTGTTCTATCCCATGACAATCCTAGTGGCTCTCTCTGTATCCTTTCAGGTTTTAATAAATTTCCTCAAGCATGTTTAGGTCTCTGCATCTCTGTGCTGTCAGTATCTTCCTGGAATATCCTAGGATTTCACCTGTCACTTCCATAGCTTCATTGGGAGGATGGATCTTAGTCATCCTATGGTTAACCCTGTCTCAGCTTAAGGGCTTGCAAATGCAGAGCTTTTTCTTAGCACTCCAGCTGTGACTTTGCAATCTGAGTTTCATTCTGTATTTGTTCTTCTAGGGCTTCAGAGTCAACTTGTCCTTTCTTGTGGGTAACATGACATACTTTTTTTTCCCTATTTTCTGCCCTGGTGGTGTGGCATTGTCTAAGCAGTTATCACACATGGCTGTTCTTTGTTGTTGTCACTGATAGAAATATGTAATATTAGGAGTTTATTACAGAAATCTTGAATTAAATTAAGTTCCAAAATTAAGCTGTGCTATGTACCCTCCTCTGGCCATATGTTGCCCGTTTCTATACAAATTTATCTAGTTGCTAATTTGAAGAAGATCAGTAGAGTCAAAATGTTTTGGGCTGGAAGGGACCTTTAAAAATCACCTTAGTCCAAGCCCCCTGCAATGAGAAGAGACACCTTACAGGAGATCAGGTTGCTCAAGCACCTGCTTAGTTTGGTGTCATCTGCACCAAACATCTGTGCTGAGTGTTCTCTCACTGTCTGTGTCATTGATAAGAGATTTTAAGCAGCCATGGTTGAGCTCTTTCTAAGACAGAAGGTGCAGTATGGTAACATTTAAAATTCTACTATTGGGTTGTCTATTATGGTGCCAAGAGAAGACAGGACAAGGAGTAATGGCCGTACACTGAAACAGATGAGGAACTTTACACTGAGGGTGGCAGAGCACTGTTCCAGGCTTGCCCAGGAAGGTCATGGAATCTTTCTCTGGAGACATTCACACCCTACCTGTTCCTCTGTCACCTGCTGTAGGTGACCCTTCCTTGGCTGGGGGCTTGGGCTAGATGATTTCCAGAGATCTCTCCCAACCCTAACAATCCTGTTATTCTATGTAAACTGCTGATAGGAAAAGCTCTTTTTACAGTATGTCAGAGTGGGACGAAGTGAAGGGTAGCTTGAGTTTCTGAGCCTCTGCTTTGCAGATACAGCACACCCTCCTTGAGGCTATGCATAAGTAACTGTCAGCTCAAATGTTCAGCATAAAAGTACTTACTGTCATGTACTTCTCTGCAGTGAGGTTTCTGATTATAATTATGAATTACTCAGGTGTTTGCTCTCAGTTTAGTTAAGTGTTCAGAGTGGTAATAGTTGAAACTCATGCCTGTGAGGATGAGCACAGGTCTGCGTGGGTTTTATTTAAAAGCCCAGTCAGTGATGGCATTATGTACCTAAATTTCATTGCAGTATTATTACTAATCAGTTGCTTAATTATATTGAGTTATGAAATAGGCATTGAGAACATGAACAACTCTGAATGTAATCTAAACGTAAGGAATATTTCCTCTCAATTCTGTCTTAGTGAAGAGATGCCTTCTTTGTACTTTATTAATCTGCCATTGTTTCGGAAGTGCAGTATTTTGGACTTTTGCTGAACCCCAAAATATGGGACTTGTGCTCTGGCCTCTCCATCCCACTTTCTGCTACCCCAGGTAGAGCTTTGGTAGCTCTATCTCCTGTCAGGTTTTTTAATCTCTGGATATTGTAGGATTGTAGCAAATAGGAACTTGAACTAAGTAGAAATAATATGCTCCAAGACGTAATGGATATTATAATTGAATTTCCAGGATATAGAAGCCTAATTTTAATCTGAGCTCTTTCAGTTTCTGTGAATTCATTCAGCTGTTTTAATACAACTTTTCATTTTCACAGTTTGCAGTCAGAACTTAGTTTCAGGAATACTTAGTAGATTTTTCTTCATTTCTTTAAGGAATTATGTAATGTTGGAGCACTTAATTTATTAACTCTCAATGCTGCTAAATGTTTGGTAACCTATTTCTCCATAATAAGTTCTTAACATGGCAGGAATGTAACATTTAGAACTTGTTTTTTGTCCACTAGTGGTATTTTCAGTAGATTATTTATTAAGCTTTGACTCTTCTGGGAATTAAAGTGTTTTAGGTACTTACTGTAATTCTTTCCGTAAATTCCAGTAGAAGCTGTGGTTAAGCAGTGATGTGTTAGGCTTCGATTACTTCCATACTTTTTGAATATGTGAATAATCCCACAGACTTTGGTGGTGATGACAAGGCTGAGATCTGTGTTATGGTATACTTACTAACTTCACAATTTTCATTTCCATGTTTGTAGTTGGTGTATGAGTTCTTCCTGAGGTTTTTGGAGAGCCCGGATTTTCAGCCCAGCATTGCAAAGAGATACATTGACCAGAGATTTGTACAGCAGGTAAGAGAGGAGTTTTAAAGTTGGAAGTGGAATTTAAAGATCACATCTCAAGCTTAATTTATCAGATGCTTAAAAGCTTTCCTGTTGACACAGGGTAAATTTCACTACTTGCAGCAGTGGTTTCTGCCAAATACTAAATAAACAGCACATCATGCCACAGGGGCTATATGTAATTAGTAACTTCAGGAACACTTTGTTTTCAGATATCAACCTCAGTGCTTTGATGTGCAAGATATTTGGAATTTGTAAAGTTCTATTTTTCATGATTTGTAACTTAATTCCAGTCAAATCAATAATGTGGTAATTATATTTTTGTAGCCCTTCTATGTTTGTTTTTTTAATAGTTTTGCCATGAGAAAACTTACAGCAAACTTTCTTCTTGTAAAAAATTCACGTACTTATTATACATGAAATGTGTTTCAACACCTTACTTGTGTCTAGATAGTGTAATTATCTTTACTATTGTGCATTAATCACAAAAGGAAAATCAAGTAAGAAATTACTTAGGGAAGTCATGCTTTACCATGCAAAGCAACTATGAGCAAGAAGTGAGATTTCATATTAAATATAACTTCTCAGGGAATTACGGTGTAAAATGCAATAAAAATATTTGGTTCAAATTGAATTCAGTGGGGATTTATTTCACTGTGTCAAAATATTTGTTTTCCAAATTTTGTTGGTCAAAATAATTGCTCAGTATCTGAAGAGTGAGTGCTGGCAGGCCATCACAATACAGCATTGAAAAGTAAAACCACAAAATGTGTGCTTTCCCTCCCTACCTTCAGTGACTGCATTTAATTTCCACTTATTTTCTGGTTCTACTGTTCTTGTTTAGAAGTGTTTCCTTCTTCTCAGTTTTATTCAAGTTACACACAAAATTTGAGCCTGAAGCTGCTGGTGAGCTATTGGCTGTGGGTATTCAGTTTACATATAGACCTGTGGTCCTGTCTTGGTTTGAAAAGACAGGTGTCTGCTAAGGAAGGCAGGAGCCTCTCTTGAAATGGAAAAAATGTAAACCCCCTGCCCCCACCAATTATTATAATTTTGAAATTGAGGGGTTCTTAGGCAAAGACATGGGAATAGGAATAATAGTTCTTTACTAGGAAAATAAAATAAAATGCAGTAGTACAAAAAAAAACACTGACAGAGTCAGAATACAACCTGGCCTCCATTGGTCAGGGTGGTGTCTGCAGTCCTCCTAGAGTGACAGATGTGGTTCTGTTGAAGCAATGATCCTGTAGAAGGGATCCTGTAGTTTTCCTTTGAAGGTCCAGTGGTGGTGTAGATGGGTCCAGTCTTCCTCTGGGAATCCAGTGGAGAAAGGCTGCCTGTGGTGTGCCAAGTAAATTAATAATAAAGATTATATCCAGGTAGGAATGCTTGGGTCCTCCCCCTGGGTGGAGCATCTCACAATGGGATAATGTAATTTTATCAGTCATGCACTGAGACTCAATGGCCCATTAACAGAAGATATTCCCCTGGAGGGAGAATGGGTTGTGGAAGAGATAAAGAACACTGCCCCAGCCTGGTTTTAACAGCTGGATATAGTTGCAACCTAAGGCAGGTTCTTAAGAGCAGCATTGCAGAGTTTGTTCCTGACATTTCACTTGATCTTTCTCTAGAGTACAAGATGGAGACAATGCAACCAACAGCTAGCTATATATGGGAAAAAACATGGAGTAGTGACCTGAGAAATTCCTGCTAAATATAAAATTGAAACTAACCAAGTTCCTGAACAGCTGTTTCCAGTCCCTTGTGTCACTTATTACACACATACCTAAGCTCAGACCTGAGCAAGGGACTGGTGACTGCTTGAGCTGGCACTGACTTGCCTCAAGGCAGCTGACATTTCTGAGTATGCTGTTGCTTGGGCATGCAGGGTTAAAAAAAATAAGAAAAATTATGGTCTGTAATGTGATCTGAGTATTTTTTATGTCTTTGAGTGAGCATGGTCTTTTCTGTACCCTTGAAAGACTTCCTACAAGAAAAAAAGTGTGTGGAAAGTTTTGTTAGCTTCTTGCAGCGTTTAGTCTGTATTAATAGGGAATTGGTTAATAATTACATATTTTGTGCTTTCTCTGTGACCCCCTCCTTAATTGTAAAATTTCTTGTATAGGAATGCTTTTGCTTGGCCATCAAGACACAATTACCACTTTGAGATAAGCAGTAAAGAATTTTAATTAAGAAATTGTAAATACAGGATATGGATTTGATTCATTCTGATTTCTTAAACAGCAAGTGCAAACCACTTACCTACAGTTTCATAACCTCATGTTTGCAATTGCATTTTTATTTTGATAGTATAATAGTTTCTGGAATGACTCTGATGTCTGTTGTACACAGAAAAGGAAAAGAAAGGAATGAAGTCGATGAGTTTATTAGAAAAAAATTCAACTTTATTAAAAACGTAATTTTGAAAATATACTATTAACATCTGAGCAAAATGTACAGTTAAGCTGATTCTTTTTGTTCCTAATGTAAACTTGTAAATTAAAGATAAATTTCAAATCAGGTAGTAACAAAACAATCTTAAGTCTTTCAAAAGTAATACATTTCAATTTAATTTTTAAAGTTGTTGGAGCTCTTTGACAGTGAAGACCCACGAGAACGTGATTTCCTAAAGACAGTTCTTCATAGAATTTATGGAAAATTCCTTGGTTTAAGAGCATTCATCAGGAAACAGATAAACAACATTTTCCTCAGGTATGCTGTGTGTGTGTGACTAGTTATCTTGCCTTCACAGTCTGGGTCTGCAGTGATTAATTCTTAAAATAAAAGACCTGTGTATGGTCTGCGATCTTGCTTTCAAATATTTGAAGCTTAGTAAAGATTATTTCTTTGGAATCTCTGATCCTCTGTGGCAATTTTTGATGGTTGTCTTTTTTGGCTACAGGTTTATATATGAAACAGAGCACTTCAATGGTGTTGCTGAACTTCTTGAGATATTAGGAAGGTAAGTTTGATCACACACAGAAAAAATATAAAATGTTATTGTGAATATTTGCTTCATGTTTGCTGCTTTGGGAATGGAGGGGAGAAGAGAATTATTACAGTAACAAGTGATGAAGTACAGTCACTGATAATCTAATGCTGTCAGGGTTACCACATGAATATCTAATTTGGACACAGAATAAATTGGTCCTTTTTCAGTGCAAGTTTTAAAGGTGATGGGCAAAAAGTGTTTCTCAAGGGTCCTTGTTTGTCAGACCTATCTACTCTTGCTTATCTTCTACCTGATAGATGACTTGTTCTTTGATTGAGAAAATGAATGTTAACTTTTGCCCTCATGCTGAATGAAATGCTTTAATCTTCAGCAAGCTGGTTTTCTTTCAGTTCTATTCAGGAAAGCCTTGTGAGTGCTAAGGTTTTTTAGTTACCTTTTTTTTGGATGTTATTTCACTAACTTGAATTTAACTTTGAAGTTTGTACCTGGTAGTTTTTTTACTGCCTTTCCAAAACTGTCATGCATTTCACAGTAGAAAATCATATTATTGGTCTAACTGAAAATACAAATATGGTGAAGCTACTGTGGAAAAAGTTTTCATGAAAAATCAAGTTATGGGGATCCCATTATTTTCTTGGATTTGCCTAAAAGGTAAGGGGCAAAAGAAGCTAACCTTTTCCTGAAGGACTTTTGTCTATTCTGTAGCTCATCAACTCTTTAATATAAGATTACTGAATCAATGCGACAACTCTTAAACTTTGTTTTTGAAGGGGAACAATCTCAAAACAAGTGTTCAAATTGCACTGTTATTCTTTTGTTTCACTGAAAGTTGTAGTGATTGTGGGTGAAATGGATCAGCTTCCTTATACATCTGTCTAAACTTTGCAATTAGACAGCAAGACTTACTGTAGATGACTTTATTTAGTGGGGGTCATGATAAAAATACTTCAGCTCATCTCGTGAGTATTGTTTAGCTTCTACTGTGGTTCTCTGGTATTCCTTACCAAGAGTCTAAACTCCCATGATACCAACATTTTAAAGGTTGTGCACATGTAGAGCTATTTTATGGTTTCAAAATAATCAGGTTTAAAAACTGAATCAGAAATGGAGTTTCAGTTGAACTTACAGAAATTCTTGACTTGCTAGGAAAAAATATTTTTTTAATAAAAATAAATCCTGCTTATTCATGTTTTCAGTATTATCAATGGTTTTGCACTGCCACTGAAAGCAGAACACAAACAGTTCCTTATGAAAGTTCTGATTCCCATGCATACTGCAAAGGGATTAGCTTTGTTTCATGCACAGGTAAGCTTTTGCCTATTTTTAAGAGTGGTGGGGTTTTTGTATTTACATTTGAAACTAATGAAATTTAAAGCACTATGTGTTATAATTCAAATAGTCCAAAATATTTGCAAATTCAGTCACTTTTTAAAAAAGTCTTACACATCTTATATCTAAATGTTAATTTTGAGATGATATTTGAGATAATATTACAAGTGAAAGAATGTATCAGTGAGTCAAAGACTTACCAACTGAAGTGGGAAGCTTTTTTGCTTGTAGTCTTGTCACACTTTAAGCTTCATTTAATCCCAGAGCCTTGTGCTGTTGTCATTTCCTTTATATAACTTAAATGCTGTGTGTAAAGGAACCTTGGGTATGGCCAAGTATTTATTTTGTATGTGTTTTTTTCTTTCTAAAGCTGCACCAGTGATGGGGTGGGAAGGAGAATTTTGTTGCCATTTATAAATGGCAGAGATGCACAGTAGCTCTCTGGATCAGCCAGGAATTATGTAGATCCATGACACACTGTCAGAATGCTGCAGTTCTTCAGCTGACTTTGATTCTTATACTTGCCACAGACATTCAGCATTTCATTTGAGGAATAATCTGTATCCTTTCCAGACATATGGCACTTCAAGTATTGAATATGGTTGATGCAAGCTTGGAAGTAATTCATTCTGCTGTGGCTAATTAAAACTTGCTTTGTGACTTAGCTCACTAATACAGCTCCATACAGACTAAAGATACAAGAAAATGGGTTTCTAATTAAAGTGAAATCATTATGACTGTATAGCCTACAAACAGGATCAAATGAAAAGCTCACTTAATTCCTAATTCTCATATGAAGTTTTAAATTAATCCAATGACTTGTCGTTTATTGCCTTGCTGCTCCATGAAATGAGTCAGTGAAAGGAAAGGGCCCAGTCACCTCCCAAAGGTGTTCTCACTGACAGATCAGTACAGCAAGCTGCCCTTTTTTTCTGGGATACATGTGATCAGTTCATGGCTACTGAAAGGGGCCCTATTAATTCAACTGTACCAGAAAGTAGCATTTCTCCTGCTGAGCAGGCCACTCCTCTGTCCCTTCATAGAACACGGGTGCCAGGTGCACACACAGCACTGTGTGTTCCTGATTTCATTTTATCCCAAAGGTCTAAGCCAGTGGTAAATCTCCTTTACAATCCCAAGTGGCCTGGTTGCTTTGTTGCTGAGTAAAGTATAGCCTGTGCTTAAAAGTTAAAGCCTTAAAGATGAATTAAGCTTGAGTCTTTGTGTCTTTGAACAGTAAAGCATTACTTACTGAATATACACATATAATGGGATTTATGAGATTAATGTGTGACATTTATTATTTTTTGAATCTATACAAATGCATCACTAGCCTAAGGGCAAAAGAAGTAAATTAGACCTGTTGCAATTATGGCATTGTAATTATCTGCTTTGGCATAACAGATTAAAAAAAAAAGAAAGGGAATGCTTAAATTTCAAGCATCCTAAGTATTGAAATGTAATGCATTTTACATAATTTTTGTCTTTGCTTTATATTGTGAAATACTGACACTTTTAAAAATCGGTCTTAATGGAATCTAGGATTGTAACTACTTCAGTAATAAGATTATTGTATGGTTTCTGCATGGGATGGTTGTTTACTTACTCAACTATATGCTCAGTAACTAAACTCTAAGTAATTATGTAACATTAAATATCCTTGGCCTGAGCAGGCCCTGTACAGAAACCAGGAGAGGCTGGGAGAGCAATGCTGGTGACTTAATCACATTATGCTTCCCCGTTCCTTCTACCTGTCCACATGCACTTGTTGGCCAGTGCTGCACTGGGACAGGACATTCAGCTGGGCAACAGCTACCTGATCTCTTGTGGCCTTGGAATATGTTCAAATTCTTTCACTTGTAATCTTACTACTGAATGTTGTGTGCTGTAGGTGTCTGGTACCTGGGCAATGTGCAATGTGTGCTCATTCAAATCTGTGTTACAACTAGTTTTTTACTGGAAGTATGGCTTTTTTTTTTACCCCAGTATAGATGTTTGAAAGTGATAGCTTTGTAATGTTAATACAGGAGTTGATGTTAAGAAAAATCTGTCTGGATATGGGATCTGAGTTAAGGAAATAACTGCCAAGCTTAAAAATAATTTTCTAGATTGAAAAGATGTTTTTTTGGTATGCAGGAAGTTTTTTTAAGATACAGCAGGTCTGTTTATCTTGCTGCTTTAATTGCTGCTTTGTTTAGTTTGGACTAATATGAAATGTCTGTGTAGGGGTGCCTTGGGTTGGGTTCCCCCCATGATCTGAAGTGCTTCCATTAGAAATTCTGATACTTAGTAATGCTGCAATGTCCAAATTGTGTCTGCTAAAACTAAATAACCATATGACTTACATTTCAGCTCGCCTATTGTGTTGTACAGTTCCTGGAAAAGGATACAACTTTAACAGAGCCTGTAAGTGTTTTTCAGTTGGATGTCTTTCTATTTTTGATTTCAATTAAATAGTGCAGTGTAACCTGTTGAATTGTACAGCAATGCTGTGTTATCTTGATTAAAGATGGATAATTAGGATTTTTGGGGAGAAGGGGGAGGAATAAAATCTAGAATTAAGAAAATTCTGAGTTTGAAAGGGCATTTGTCTCTTAACCTATGGCCAAGATAGAGCATAGGTATAACTAAAAGTTTGAATTACTGGTATCATGCAAACTACCTCAAAAGAGAAAGCATGTCATGACTGTTCTCTTCTAATAAAACTAAAATGTCATTGGTTTTGGTACTGATAGCTTGTGTTTAGCCACTTCATGAAGTTGAAATATTTTAGGGAATAAACAATCCCAAAATAAAAGTTGAAAATAATAGCAACACTTCATTTAGACAGAAAGAACTCTGAAATTCCAAATGTGCTGTTTCTGTTCTGCCTCTTCAGTTCCTGGGGTGCCTCTTGGCATCAAAACTTAGGTGCTTCAGGCATCTGTGGCTTTTGCCAGACTGAATCTCCCATGATACATATTGACAGCTCAGCTAGAGAGGGTTTATACACAGGCTTTGGCAGGGCCCATGAAGAACAGAGGCTCAGGGCAGTGCAGCAGTTTGTGAGGACACAGAGTGATGTCAGGCCAACTATAAAAGAAACTGGTTTTGCTTGGACAATTAGGAATATCTCCATTAGGGCTATGTTGATATTTAAATACTTTACCCCTTTTGTGACAGAAAAAATGAAGAGTTTATGCACGACATAAATTTTTCTTCTTTAAAGAAAAAAAGATAAACAGCTTTGGGAAAACAAGACTGATCTTTTCTGAGTGTCTTTCAGTGGAAGCTTGTTTTCTGCACATCTGTTTCAGCTGACCAGTTATTCTGTAGGTGGTGGAGGGTGTCGTGGATTTGCCTTGTCTGCTTGAAGCATCTCCTTCCCACTGTGCTGCAGTGTTCCCAGCCACTCTGGTCAATAAGCTTATTTTGTGGGATAGAGCAAGGAGAAAGGAATTCTGTAACCCCTATTCCTTAAGCTAATTGAGGAAACAACCCTCAAAAGGCATTTTGACAGTTCAAGTTGACATGTGAGTAGAAAATGTGTAGTGTTACATAAAAACTTGCACGATAGAATGAAGCGACAGCGTGACAAGGTCAGAACTTCCTGACACAAATTTATGGAAGTGTGGTGCAGGATCCAAGCCCAAACTGCTGTGAAGAAGGCAGGGCTTTAGAGCAGTGCCACAGTGCAGTTCTGAGGCTCATCTGGACTGTGGTCTATACAATTGTGGTTGCTTCTTAATCAGTTAAAGGTGAATTCAGGCTGCAGAAGACACAAGAACTCACTGCAGAGTCATGGCCTGTGTTTGCTTTGGTTGTTACTCTGTGTGTATAGTAAAAGTTGCTTTATAAAGGAATTAAAGTTAATAGGATAAGTGAAGCTTTAAGAAACTTTCTGAAATGCTTGAAAAGTAAATGTTAAATTTTGGGGCAACTGATGAGATAGCATTGGAAATTTTCCTTGGCTTTAGGTCAAGTAATATTTTAAGAACTCCATCGGAAGGCTGTCTTCACACATACCTTACTGTTATTTTTCTGGCAGGAATTGTCACTCAGGGTCAGTTTGGAGGACATTCAATCCGAGCTCTTGTAGCTATGGTAGTTTGCCTCAGGTCAGTCCTGATGTTTGCAGAGCTGACAAGAAGAGGTTGTTACCTAACCCTGCTGAGTGCAATGGCCTTTACATGGACGAAATCAGGCTAAATGTGCAGTCCTTGTACATGAATAAAGTTTTCCAGCAGGTGCCTACCTGTTGTAAGCCACTTAATGGGAATCTTGTAGCTCAGTGAAGAATATTAATCTTACATAGTAAAAGCAGTAATCCATGAACATAAATGTGCAGGTATCAACTTCTTAAAATAAAAGCATAGTCAGTTTCCATGAAGCTGGAAACTGATACTTCAGCAAGGAGGAGCAAGGGATAGGTATCTTGTTGAGGTGTGCACTGTTATACTCAGAACATATTATTTCTTTATCAAGTTGAGAATATGGGTCTCATCTCTAGCAATAATTAAGTATATTTAAAAATTCTTGCAGTAATTTGTGCTGGGAAGTATACTTTAGTCATACTAACTTTTCTCTGGAAAGACACTTTTGATACTACATGTAGTTGTTAATAAAGCAGTTGGAAAGCTGAAGGAAAAAAATCAACATGACAAAAATCAAATATGGAAGGTATTTAAATAATTGAGTATGTTTTTCCTTTGGATATGATCAATTAGGTGCTATTGTATCATAAAAAAATAGAGGTCCTTTCCTCAGAATGAAAGTTTGTAAGTCTCTGAGAATGTTTCTGCTCCTGGAACATAGTTGCAGCCTCTTTTTTATCTTTTTTCTTTAAAGCCAGCATTCATTTTGTAATTTAGATGCCATGTGAGATGTTTATTTCTAGGAAAAATGCCTCCAGCCTTTCTTTGCTGTATTTCCTCCATTCCTCTTGGGGGCTGTACCTTCCAATTAATTTTCCCAGAGGTTTTGTTTTTCCAGTCTTGTCCAAGATAGTTTCAAATGTAGATATTAGAATTCATTTTCTCTGTAAGTTCACATCTTTCTTACTTTAGTTTCCAGTCTAACACATCAAATTGTAGCAGAGAAGAGGAAGAGTTGGAGGCCATGGCTCCTCTTTAGAGCCCTGTCAGCATTTATTGTTTCCTCTCAGGCTTCAAACCTTTGATGCCAAGGCTGGTGCTCCCCAAAGTATGGATGGGTAGAAGACAAAAAATAATCTGTGAGATTTAGCTACAGGGGGGTTAACTTCACTTTGTGATTCTTTGATGTGATCAGCATTCTGTCAGTTAATGTGAGTACTGGGATGGGAGCAGAGTGTGACTAGATAATCACAGGCACACTAAGAGATAAGGGTCTGAGTTATTCTGACAACCTAAACAAGACAAACATTTAAATGAGTGTTTATTCAGTTTTCATTGAACTTTTGAATAAGGAAAAGCAGAGAAAAACCAGTACTTTTCTTATTAAGTAGATAGTAGGAACTTATCCTACTTTAACTTGTTTGTATTCTTCATACAGGTAATCAGAGGACTGCTCAAATTTTGGCCAAAAACGTGCAGTCAGAAAGAGGTTGGTTTTGTGTCTCATTTCTGGTGTCTGCTGTGATGTAAAATCTTGTGGGGCAGATTCACAAACTTTATCTGTGCTTTTCAAGACATCTTGAAGAAAACTTGCAGTTATTGAAGCTTCTTGAGGCACTCACCTTTGTCATGTGACTCAGTATGTTTTCTTCTATGTAGTTAAAATGAGTTTGAAAACCAGGAGTTTGATTTATCCCACCAGATTCCATTCCCAGCAGCTCTTTAAAAGTGGGTCCCTTAACACTGTTGTCTCTTTCTCTGCAAGTGGTGATAAATTTTTCTGTGCCAGCTACACAGACTTCTGATGGTTGCAATTTTATATGGGAATTAACTACTTATCACTTCAAAAGCTACTTTGGTGATATCTGATAATCTCTGTAACCACTCTTGAAATAAGATAAATAAGATGCCCTAATTATTTTTTTGTTTAAATGTAAAACCCCATTTTCTGCAGAAGCAGTTTGTTGAAGTATTCACTATTTACACAAAAGAAATCCAAGAGGAGAGCTGTAACCTGTTAGCTGAGAGTGATGATTGACATTTTAGGCTGCAAAACCCCTGTGCATGTCTAAATGCCTTGTAATGACAGTCTTCTTTGCAGGATTCATGTGTAATGTATAAGATGTATTTTGTTTGCTTCTGTTCACAATGGTGATATGAAACACTATCATCTTTTTTTTTTCTTTCTAAACAAACAGGTAATGTTTTTAGGTGAAATTGAAGAAATCTTAGATGTTATAGAACCAACACAATTCAAAAAAATAGAAGAGCCTTTATTTAAGCAAATATCCAAGAGTGTGTCAAGTTCACATTTTCAGGTAAATAAAATAAGTACTAAAAAAACCCAAACAAACCTTGTGGTAACTTACTTTATGGTTGTTTTGAACCCTTAACTTTGTGTTCCAGGTTGCAGAAAGAGCTTTGTACTTCTGGAATAACGAATATATTCTTAGCCTGATTGAGGAGAACATTGATAAAATTCTACCAATTATGTTTGGCAGTTTGTACAAGATCTCCAAAGAACACTGGAATCCGTATGTGGCATTTCACTTTATCTGTAGCACTGTAAATATATTGTCCATTGTTTCAGGTTTGGATTGGGAGCTTGTAAATGGGACTTCATTTTTACTTAAATAAGATGAAATCCATGACATTCTGGGTGTTAAATGGAGTGTCACTTTCAGCTGTGTTGCTCTTTCACTGTTCTGCACTGTTACAATGGAGACCTGGAATTTATTGAAAAAGTGTGAGGAAACTGGATGATGGTCTTTATATTGTAATTACATCTGATCCTTTGTGTTAGTTCAAAATGCAAATTAATGCTACTTGGACCAAAACCATTTCCATGGGTTGCTTCTATTTCTGTTTTGCTGTCCTTTAATACTTCAGATGAATACAATTGTCTGTGTCTTCATAAGTATTTATTGCTGATCAGTGAGATAAGAAGGGGAAAAGATCCTATCAGAGGGGAGCAACCCTTACAAAGGATGGTAGGACTGAGAAACGAGTGACTACTTCACTTTATATTTAGTGCCACAAGTTAAATATTGGTATTCCTGTGTTTGAAAGAAGCAGCAAGGGTATTGAAGTATACTGGGTGCCAACACCCTGAATTAAGCTGCAAGTTAGTGTGCAGAATATAAAGCTTGTACAGGCAAAAGGCAGGATCAGCAGGAGCTTGCCACAGCCCTGCAGTAAACCAGATGTCCTGTTTTAAGCCCTTGGAGGCTTTGCAATTATTCTGGGTTTATCTAGATGGTGTGTCTAGTTGAAAACCGAATACAAACCTTGGGGAATAGTCCTTGGAGTATCAATGTATTTGGGAGCTCAACAAATTTGGAGGATGTCCCTCTTTCCCTATCTGCAGGCAGATGTTTCCCTTTATGAAAGAAGTAAAAGAGATAGGATAATTGCCTACTTGAGGACAAGCAAGTTTGGGGAAGAAAGTATAATCCTTTGATTCTAATCTGTTGGGAGGGCAGCAAAACATGCTTTTGTCCATCTGGTTGTCTGATACAGGCTCAACTTCTTGCTCAATATCCAACTTTTCCTCTCAGAAAACCAAAACCTTAAATAAGCTTTTGACCTCAAACCACATGAAAACCAGGGTACAAAAAAACAAATTTTAAAAATAAGTGTATAAACAGGCAACAGATACTGTGCGTTTTGAATGGACAAGCACAAGGCTCTGCTGAACAGCTGGGAGATTTCCTAGTGCCACGCTGGACAGAGTGCACTGAAAAGGCAAACCTGGTTCTCTGGTTATTTCCTTAGGGGTTTTTTTGACTTCTTTTTCAAGGTCACAGGGCTGCAGCTTTGCAGTCAGTGGGGAACTGCTAGTGAGGGAGAAGACAGGGAAGACAGTTTACCTACTTTTTGATTAGTGATTAAACTTAATGACAGGCATTTTAATGTTTAATTTCATTGATTTTTTATTTCTTTGTATAAATATGAATGGGTTTAAAGGAGATAACACAACATTTAAGATGGTTTACTGAAATATGAATACTTTCACAAAAAGAAGGGAAGTGCAGGAATACAGGCAGCCATGTAACACACAGCCAGTGTTGCTCAAGTTGGTGAGTTTCTTAAGGAAACTGAGGTACCTAAATCCATGATCTGATATTCTTGATTCTAGTTCTCTAGCAAGACTCCTGCTGCCCAGAAACACTGCTAGGAGAGCTTTGCTGTGCTAAACCAACCTAAGCCTGTGGTTTGTCTGCTGCCTTCTTGAAGCTATGAGCCAGAAGTTTTATTTTTCTAGACTCTCATATTTCATTGCTCAAATATTACAGAGTTGTTGTTAAAACTTGGTTTATTAAAGGTTCACATAATTGAATGGCTTTAAAGTACAGCCACGGCATGAATAATTATATCCTGTGTAATTACAGAAGTCAGGAATTTAAGATTAAATAGCCATTTCAAAAAATGTTTAACTATACTATAATTTCCTCTGTAAATTAATAAAATGGAAAGGATTTTGTTTCAGAAACTCCCTGACCTTACAGTATTATCTTGAAGAAGAAGCTCAGAATCTGAAAAAGAGATCAAATTCTTGTTTTCTGAAGCTGATTTTGTCACTGAGTAAATCTAATAGCTGTGCTCCTTCTGTTCCAGAACCATTGTGGCACTGGTGTACAACGTGCTGAAAACCCTGATGGAAATGAACGGCAAGCTTTTTGATGAACTCACGAGCTCGTACAAAGCAGAAAGGCAAAGGTACTGAGCCTTTTTCCAGGTTCCCACTGATGAACATATCCAAGCTGTAATTTTGGATGTTGCTCTGCTGTTGTGGTTGTGGGGCTTGTAGTGGAGCTGTTTGGTGCTGGGTGTCCTGTGTGTGAGGTGACACCTGGCAGTGGAAAGGCCTGAAGCTCCCCATCCTGCCTGGGCAGGGGCTGTGCTCCCTCCTGGGTGGTGAAATGGGTCTCAGCTGCTGCTGGCTGTGCTGCCTCAGGTAATCTGAAGAGAATGGAGCTGGACTCTTCATAGCTCCGCAAAAGCATCGCTTACCCTACTAATCTACTGAGCAGCACCGTTGGAGTCAGAGAGGCAGGGCACAGGTGACCCGTGGCCAGCTGAGACCACTGCCCAACCCTCCTTATGGTAGCTGTGTTCTTCCCCCCAACAAAGATTCTCAGTCCCTTAATTTGTGTGCATGTGATAAAAAAACCTCCTTAAAACAGAAGCCAGCTGTGCAAAGCCACCCTACAGCAATTGTTTTCATTTGCTGGAGCAAAGGTACAGTTTCACCACACACCATTACTTATTTGTTATGCTCTGTTTTTAATTGAGGAAACTGTAGTTGCCTCTAAAAATAGCTTTGGAGAAAAATTTAAAAGAGGAATTAGTAGATGCAAGTCACAGTTAAGTTATTATGTTTCCAGATTGTGCTTAAAACACATCTGAAATTGATCTTTCACTCTTTTCTTCAGAGAGAAAAAGAAAGAATTGGAACGTGAAGAGTTGTGGAGGAGATTGGAGGAGTTAAAGCTTAAGAAAGCGATGGCAGAGAAGCAGAACAGCACTCACAACGTGCTCAATGCACACAATACAAGTGCCAAATAAAAGAAATGACCACCTCTACTCGGCAGACATTCTTTTTTTGTACCCTTTTGAAATATATAAAGATTTGCAAAAGAAACCTCATCAGTATAATGGAAACAGCCAATTTTTTTCTCTGGCAAATGTAAAGATTTGAGTTTAAATACAGCAGTTAAGTGATGTCATTACCACAACATATTGTAAATTTGTCTAATTATTGATATACTGTCACTTCCAATGTTTCATAGAACTGAATTATCATCCTTAATGAGTGAAATAATTATGGGAGTGGTGAGAATTATGACTTGAATTTTTGATTGTGTTGCACATAGGTGGTATAGTTTGCTATGTACACATTTTTCCTTGTTTTTTTTATGTGCTTTTCACATTGCTGCATACTTTGGTTAAGGTGATAGAAAAGGCTTCTAGTTGTGCTGTATTTTCTCAAATAAAACCGAGGTACGTTACCAGTAACTTGAGATATTCAGTATATGCCCCTTACAGCATTGAAAGGAACTCTGATACAGAGCTGTCCTTGAATTCCTGATTGGATTCAGATTTATATCTATACAATGCTCACATTAGAAACAAGGCAAGGAAGGGAGAGAATCAGCTGCAACAGGTTGGGGTGGCCAGTGCCTCTGCCCCATTCCTGCTGCCTCTTGGGTCCTGGGCTAGTTAAGGATTTCCTCCTGCTACAGCTGAGGATGGAGCTTCCTCTGGAGAGCCCATCAATGATGCTCCTTGTCAGCCCAAGGACCCTCCAGACTGGTGCAGTCTCCAAGAAAGACCCATCTTGGATGTTTCTGCGTTAGTTTTAGCATCTCATGGACTGAAGAATGAGACCAAAATTGGCATTAGTATATTTTTTTTTTCAGTAAGGAGGAAAGAATGTCAAGAAATTATTCCTTGTTTTCTTTAAAGAAAATGCAGTCTGTTTCTTAAAGGTGGAAAGTTGACAATAGAAGTCTTGTCTGTTTACTTGATCAAGTATTTTTTCACATCTTTTATCAGAGTACCATTCCAATCTCTTAAATTGCAGTTGTGTGGAAAAATTTTGTAATGAAAGATCTTTGGGGAATTGAGCAGCATTCAATAAAGTCTTTATGTTTGTATTTAGTGCTGTACCTCACATCTTTGTGTTTCTGAAGACCAGGAGAATTAGAATGGCTGTTGAAAACAACCTTTTTAACTGTCCAATGTGGCTTTTCACTGAGTGGCAAAAGTGGGGAAGTCCCTACTGCACTGAGTCAACTATATTACACTTACTTGTCTCTAAACCATTGTTTCACAGAGGGTATGGGACTAGCACTGCCTGCAGGGAGAGGACAGTCACACAGCCACAGCTCACCTCGGTTTAGTTCTTTAGTGCCTTTTTGCCCTTAGAAGAGTAAAGATCCCAATGTGTGACAAACTTTGTTCGGCTGTCCTAGAACCTAAATGAAAATAATTTACACAAATGTTGGGGAATCAAACACCTTGCAGGGGTTCTAGGAATAAATCACTGGCATTTGGAATTGTTACAAGTTTTTTCCTAGAATTGTAATTACAAATTAGTTACAAATAAGGACATTAGGCTTAAGTAATAGAAAAAACAACAGGAGCTGTAAGGTACCCTTCCAAATTGTGCAACACTTGCTGTCAGGACCGCTCCTATAAATAGGCCTGCAAAAGAAAGGCTTCTTGGCTGGAATCACTGGCCTGCTCTTGTAACATTTCCTTATAAAACAAAACATCTTGACAGCTGAGATGTAGTGACTGAAGTGGACTGCTGTGCGAGTTTATTGGGAGGAAAAAGATAGTGCATACTGCAAAAAGGAGTTTATCCTTTATTTAACTATGCTTTCTACTCACCCCACAGCTGCAGCTATGTTGTCTTTCAACTTAGCATCTCTGACTTCATTAGCAAAAAAGAAAAAAGTGGATCCATCAGAACTGGTTCAAATTGTTTCTAATTTTCCTTTTTTTTTTTTTTTTTCCTTGTAAAATCCAAGCAATGGCTGCTGTAATATCATGTGTTCAAGGAACAGTGGGGTATTCCTTTGGCAGGCAGCAAGAAAGCTCAGTTGTCATAGCATAGGCTGTTTGATAGCAAAGGCAGTGGGGGGGTTTCTCGATGAGGAAAGGTTGAATGTAGGGGGTTTTATCCATCCCCCAGCCCCTGCCTGGTTTCTATCCTGCTCCCCATCACCCAGAGATGGAGTAGCTCTTCTTGCTTCAACCATGCAGTGTTTGGCCTTTGCTGGTCTTGTCCAGTTTAATCTCATTCCCTTGCTGAGCAGTTCAGGAGCCATCATTGTGATACTGAAGGTGAGGACTGGACCCCACCTTTCTCCATCTGTTCTCCATACAAACATCTTTGTCCCCTGATTAAACATTTTCCCCCAAACAGCCAGTGCTACTACTTTATCTCATTACAGTAAGTTGTTGCTCCCCTGTTCAAGGCTGTCTGGTCAGTGCAGTGCCTTAATTTGCTCTGGAAGCTAGCTGAAAGAAATTTTGTCCCAAAAAGCTTCCTCAGATGCCAAAAACAAGGAAGAAAGGTGAGGGGGTAGTTTTGATACAGTTACTCCTCCTCTGCTGGAAGAGGAAGGAAGAAGCAAACTATGAGTTGGCATCCTTGCAGCAAAGCCTTCAGAGCAAACACACAGTGGTGCCCTGCTCCCTGTAGACTCCACACGGCCAAGTCAGGCATCTCAACTAACAAGGGACTTATAAGGAAGAAAAAGACACCAGCACCCCAGCAGCGTTGGTGAGCAGGCATTCCCTGTAGAACAGAGAATCACAGTTCTGTGCCCTGGTGATGAAAGACTATTTTTCACTTCCTTAGGAAAGACTGCCAGAAAGAGGCATAAACAACAGCCTGAGACAGACTCTGCTATCAGCCACCAGCTCAGCTCCCCAGGTTGTCCTGTTGCTTGAGTTTGCTTTGGGCTGGACTGATCAGTGGTTTTCACCTCATCCTCATACCATGACACTCCTTTTCCTCCTGTGAAGCTCTTCCAAACCTGAGAGCAGGTACTTTCAAAGAAGGCACACAACAGATTATTTGAAGTATATTTTAATATTAAAGTCATTGTGTTTTGATTTAAAGATGACATGTAATAGAATTCCAGTGTATTTTGTTTTAAAACATACTTTGGAGAAGAAAGGCCAGGATGTTTCCAGAGTACTTTACCTTCCACTAAGCACCATCAAGGCAGTGACTGTGCTATGGGAGCAGCTCACAGCTGATGCAGAAACTAAAGGAGAAACATTCAAACACTGTCCACTTTTTCACAATTTACAACAGTGATGACTTTCTGAACATTAGTGAGTTCCCTCCTTTCCCCCTGATTCCTCCATACATTGAGGTAAACTTGTTAAACTTCGACTACAAAAGCGTGAGTTTGTTAGACTTGTCCTAGAGTTAGCTCCTTCTGCTGTTCCAAGGCCAGTTCAGTAGGTGGTTTCTCCAGCCAGCATCTCTCTGGAAGAAAACATACCTGGTTTTCAGCTTTAATTGCTGATTGCTGTTTATTCCAGTTATTTTCTATCCCTCCTGCTATGAACAGTTAAAAGGCAATCTTAGTCTCAGCTTATGTGGTTCGTTACTTGACGAGTCCTCTTCAGATGCCTTCTCCGTATTTTGATCATCCACTTAACACTTAACTTAGCAAAATCTGCTGCTTTAAACAGGGCCAGAAAGATACCACAAAGAAGAGCAATCATGTTCCAGGGATTTGCTGTGATAATCTGAAAGAGATGACAAATATTAGTCCCCTCATCTGATTCCACATAGGTAGAGAGGAGTGAGAGGTGTGGGAATAGGACTGGGCTCTAAAGACCGAGGAGGTGCCTGAGTTCTGCTGGGAGTGCAGGAGTGCAAAGGACCAACTCCTGTCCCACACAGTCTGCATTGACACTCATTTGGTTTTGGGCAAAGAAACACCAACACTGTAGATTTTGCTGCTGCTGGACCTTAGTTGTTGGGTAACTATAATACCATATTTTATTCTAATAATGGATAAAAAATATACCAGGCTATTTTTATTATTCTTATTTCAGCCTAGGTTTCTTGTCAATTAATAAAAAAAGTCATTAAATCAGATTACCCAAGCAGACTTATTTAAGCAAAAAGTTTAGCCCTGACCTGAAGCTACCCTTTGCTAGAACACAGGAGGACAGGTGCTTTGCTTAGCTACGTGTACCTCTAGCTGCAAGCAGCCCAAGGAAAAGCATCAGATGGTCCTGACCTCCACACAGAATGCATTACTGGCCATAAGGAAGAGCCTACACTGGAATTTCACAAATATTCTCACTTTTCTCTGCATTTCTTCTTGAAGTGAGGTAACAACGGCAAGTGCACACATGCACAAACCACGAGCATGCAGAGTCAGACAGTGATTCAAGAAGGGACTAGTGGGTTACTCACGTCCTGAACTGTCTGTATGAAAGGATCTTTCCATTCAAACACCACAAAGAACAGCTGGTCACTCCTTGGTTTAGTTCTCTGGTCAATGTAGTTAACCACACTGGTCTGGGGAGAGGGAAAGAAAAGTGCAGGTTACTTTCTTCAGCAGTACAATGAGTTTTCTGTGCAACAGCAAAGGCCTGTAAGAAGATGAAAATACCACACTAAGGACTTCTACCACAGCCTTTCTCTTCTACCTAGAGCAATGGGCTGCCAAAATATGGCAAGGGCAGTTTCCTCCTTCTGTTCATACTATTTTTTTATTTCTAACTCAGTATCACACTACAATACCATTTCTACATTGCTTCTCAAGAGGGGACAATTTCCAAAATCCATTTACTTGCATTTGGAAAGTTCTCATGAATGCCCGTTAAATTAGTTTTATTTTCCAAAGAACCACATAATGATAGCAGGAGGATTCCTTCTATTTGAAAATGTGTTGTAGAATAAACTAGAACGTTACAGCAAGTGCAGAATGAACATGGAAGGAAAGAAGCCCAGGTGTTAACAACCAAACCCATACTTCCAATACTGCCCATTAACTAGGTCACCACTTGAAACTAATGCTGCCCAGCAGAGAGCTGTAACACAATTCCAACAGGGAACTGCGTTAGGATACTAGACTGTGTAACAGCCACATGAAACCAGAGTCTCAAGAACCACAACCAGGAAAATACTAAGACATCAGGCCCTGGGGAAAATACTTGTATTGTACCACCTGCCCCCAGCCTAGCGGGGGAACTACACAGGGTTTTTACACAGGCAGTAACCAACACAGTTTGAACTGACTCCTGCTCCTTGGAGACAACACAAACTGCCCAAGAGCCACACAGTGACCTCAGGAAAGCACAGTGGTGAAAGGACTTCTCCAAACCTCAAAAGAGTGTTTACATCTTAGTGTGCACAGAGGAGAGTACTGCTGTTTGTCCTGTTTAATTCTGCACTGAAAGCAATCTAGCAGCACTGTGACTTTGTTTCAGGCTTGTGACATAGAGATGAGACAGATGATGGAAGAACATGCTTTTTCCACATTTTGTGAGCCCAGTTTTCCAGGTAGAGGATGGCTGAGCTGGAAGTCTCTAAGCAGACCACTCTCTTCATCTCCTTACAAGTCTTCCCATTGTATGGGGAAGATCTGCCACAAGAGCCTCTGATCTACCATGGTGCAATTTCTTTCCAGATACCTCAGGGTTTCTCTCAGTCTTCTCCACGGTCCCAGCCCTGAACAGATTTTAGGCTGCAGACAAGCAAAAGCAGGAGCTAGAACCACTCAGAGCATGTGGAGCTTCCCCACCTCCTGGTTTCTGGTCAAACACCTTTGCTGCAGACTTGCACCACACTTCTACAGCTCATTTCCTTATTGCAGGGTACCAGTGCCCCAACCACACTCATCCAAGAAAACTGCACACCAGGAAACAAACAGTACACAGGGCTAAATGAAGGCAATGGGAAAGGCAGAAAATACAAATGAATGACTGCTGGGCTAGTTAGCAAAGTGACTGACTGTTCTGTTTGACCTATTATTTGTATCCATCTTTCTGGTATGCCAGCTCTCAGGTTTGGATTTGAAAGGCTAATGGACTTCCTGGTGCAATTTGAGCAGATGTTGTACTGTCAAACAAAGCAAGTGCAATTTATGTCCAAGCTGTTTCAATTTCTACTGTAT